TATTTTTTTAATGTTATAGTTTATTAACTTTGTGTCCCACTCACTCCCTCATTCCTTCCCAACCTCATCTTTTTTGTTTGTTTGTTTGTTTTTTATTCTTTACTAATTACACTTTATTCACTTTGTTTCCCCCCTGTGGTTCCCTCCCTCCTCCCGTCCCAATCCCTCCCTTCCTCCACCCTCTGCATGCATGCCCCTCCCCAAGTCTGAGGTTAAGAACAGTCACTGTTCTTTCAAAGGTCCTGAGTTCAATTCCCAGCAACCACATGGTGGCTCACAACCATCTATAGTAAGATCTGGTATGCAGGCAGAATGTTGTATAAATAATAAATAAAAGGGTTTTAAAGGATGTTCCAGTCCTTCAAACTGATACATCATGGCTGTCTTCTCAGAGGGAGACAGTGGACTTTCATAAGAGCAAAAACCAAAACAAAAGCTAGTAGTTTTACTCAATAAAATTGCTAATAAAATTATTAACTTATGGTTTTATTTCAAGAAGACATTCCTAATCAATTCAGGGCCTTTTTCAAATCACTAAGTGTTTGTGGGGACCCCACATGTTCCAGGAACTCTGAAGGAGCAGAGAGTATCATTTAATCAGGAGCAGATAGTCAAAAGTGTATGTGCACTAAAATTTAGGATGACTTGGGGGAACATACATAACTAATTGATCTCTAATACACACATACACACTAACACACTCAAAATTATAAATTTTTAAAATATATGGTGAAAATGCATGAAAGGAAAGCTTGGGGGGAGTTTCGTAGAAGAATCTTTATGTTGCTGACATAAACCAGGAGAAGGAAATAATCGTGCAGACACATTCGCGGAGGCCTGAACCATGAAGGCACTGGCAGAATACTGCAGAAGCTGGCTGTGGTAACGGCCCAGAGACACTCAGGGCCCAGACTGGGCTGCCTCTTAGAGCCTGCAACAGCCAAGTGACCTACACAGTTCTCCACCTTGCAAAGGTCAAGTGTGAAGCTGGCGGTTGTAGGTTGTGGTGTTCTCAGCTGTGCTAACAGCAGCCCCTGATACTTTAAACAGTTTGGCCATGACACTCCTGGTTTAAACACAGGACTGGTCTTAGGATATCTGAAGAAGGACTTCTGTAACATAAGTAAGTAATCGTTACACATCGTTACCAAGCACATAGCCACGGGTAAAATTTTAGAGCTGAACCAGGACAGGCAGAAACTATGTAACTGGGTATCTGAAATGTTGGTCACGTGGGTCATATTGCTTCTCCTAATACTCTTAACCAACCTTATGTCTCAAAAGGTAAGGAATAGCCAAACATGAAGGAAAGAAAAGGTCTTCCAATTCAAGTCTTCTAAGTGTGACCATGTCTGCTGACCATTCTGCCTTAGGCATAATGAGTCACTGGATTGGAGAAGTGGCTCAGTAGTCAGGATCCTTGCTGCTCTTCCAGAGGTCCCAAATTTGTCCCTACCTCCTACTTCAGGCAGCTCACAACCATTTGTAACTGCAGATCCGGGAGACCTGATGCCATCTTCTGGCTTCTGTGGACACCTGCACTCATGTGGTTCATGCATACACACATACATAAAAATACACATTAATCTTTAAAAAAAATAAATGGTGAATGATAATTCTTTGATGGCCACAGCTCAAAGAAAATCTTCAGTACTAGACTTCCAGAAATAAAAGGTCCATGTTCCTGTTTATAGATTTATCCTTTTTTATTCATCCAGTCATTCTTGATTCACAAATATAGACATTTAGGCAGTTAAACATTTGCTGAATGAACATAAACTGAACACTAAACAAGATAATGTGGTATCTTGGAGATGGGGATATGGAAAATCAGGGAAAGGGAAAGATCAGGAGACAATCTCTGCCTCCAGAGAGCTAGTATCCAGAAAGCTGATCTCACATCCACATAATTAAAAAAAAAAGCACAATATTCTTTGGGTTCCAAGAGCTATACAGGTTTTGAACACCATCTGCCATATCCTGAAAGTACAAGTTGGATGCCAATGGGCAGACAACAGAATGGCATTCCAAAGAGCCTTCCATTGCTTGCGGGAGATGTTCACATTTAAAGGCATTTTAAGTCCCCTCTTTGCCGCTCAGCCAAATTGGGCATGCTGTTCTGAACGGGGACCCATGGTTTTTTAGAGAAAGCTATGGATAGGATGGAATGTAAGTTATTCACCCTCTTGATTCTTTCTCCTCACCTTTCTTTCTATGTCACACAGCCCTAATAAAGAAGAGTTGAAGAAAAGGAAACTTTCCGGAACTGTTTTTGCTTTAGCAGCATCGGGGCTGGAACTCAAGGATCCATCGAGGCATCATACCACTAATCTAGTCCACATTTTTGTTTGTTTTGTTTAGCACCACAGCAAACTTGCTGAAGTTGTTAGTCTTGATAGGGTAAGGAAAGCCACACTAAGACAGATGGTGGAGTGCTGGACCACCAGGTGAACGAGGTTAGACTTTCTACATTGCACAACACATTCTTGAATGCTGAGATGCATGTGCGTATGTGTGCGTGTTTGCGTGTGCGTGTGCGTGTGCGTGTGTGTGTGTGTGTGTGTGTGTGTGTGTGTGTGCTCGAGTGCTCACGAGTGCAAAGCCAGTCTCCTAACTAGGTGAAATACACTCAAACGGGATAGTAATATCTTTTCTAATTATAGAAATGAGTCTAATGCATCAAAGATAGCAAGGTCATTGTTTTATTTTCAACTTTCTTTAAGATGTGCTGCATGCTGTGCCTAACACTGCCAGATTATTACTGTAACAGCATTACAAGGAATGTTAGTCTCAAAATCAGTTTCAGGTTAACAGAATTTTTCTTTCAGCCAACTTTCAGTGTATCCAAACAAAGACAAGGGACATAGCGCAGCTTGCCCTCTGACCAGAACTGACTTCCTTCTTCATGTCACATAGTAACTCTTCCTCATGTTTCCTGTGATACATAAGGTCAAAGAGTTGATGTTTTCTTTCTTTTAAGAGTGTGCTCAACATGGCTTTTTGACATTTCTCTGTAGCTCTGACATCTTCCAAGTTAGATTTTAATAATATCTTGACCCATAACCTTTTGCTTCAAAATTGGTTTTGGCAAGAAATCAAAAGTAGGAGAGTGTCTATATTAAATATTGATTTTTGTAAAGACCTCTTTTTTCCCTCTTGCCCTTTCTCCCTTGTCTTTCTCTCAGAAGATTAAAGAAGATAACAAAAGGGTTAATAGCCGTTTAAGACCCCATCTAATATTTCTTCTTTTTTTCCATTTATTTATTTATTTATTTATTTATTTATTTATTGGTAAACTCTGGCTTATCATAGTATAGTTTGAGTAATGTCTAATCTCAAAACTACAAATGTGTACTAAAAACATTTTTAATAAAATGAATTAAGTTACAAATTTGACTTCAAGATACTCTATCAAGGAAGAGTTTAATCTAAAACCAATTTGAAGAGATAAATTTGGAAAGAGTATTACTTATCTCTTATTTCAATTATTTATTATTATTGTTTGGTAATAGAAAGAAAATAAAATCTTGCTGTGCATTGCAAATTGTCCATAAGTTTGCAATCCTCCTGCATCTCAACCTCTAGTGTCCTGAGATTACAGGCGTGCCCAAAATGTCAAAATTTTGAAGATGCATCTTCATTGCATCCACTGTACTAGTTTTGTTTCTGTTGCTGTGGTGAAAACACCTTGATCCAGAGGCAACTTAGAGAAGAAAGTTTATTTGTTTATTTGGTTTCCGGTTCCAAAATAGAGTCAAAACAGTCAAGAGAGTCAAGGCAAGAACTGAATGCTTCAAATCCACAGTTAGAAGTGAGGAAAAATAAATGCATAAATTTTTACATGTCTTACTGTGAGCTGCCTTCATGCTGACACACTTCAGAGACCAGCCTAGAGGATGCTCCTCCCACCTTTAGAGTAGATCTTCCCGTCTCATTTACCCTAGCTAGAACGATCTCTTTCACCCATGCCCATAGGCAACCCAATCCAGACAATTCCTCACTAAGAGTCTATTCCTGTAGGATGTGAAGTAAACAAACAAACAAACAAACAAATAATTTAAAAGAGTCTATTGCCCGGTGATTCTAGATTGTGAAATAAAGAGGACAGGCAAAATCCCACAATAAACATGGGTATAATCCACTGTCCATTCAGCTGCCATTTTTCTTTCAATTTTCCAGGCTTAGCAAAAACACAGGAGATCAAAGAAACATTCTCCCTCCTTGCCCCCATGATTTGGGTTTTGTGATTTAGCAAGAGACCTCAGAATTCTAGGTGGATGATTGGGGGCGGGGCGGGGGGAATTGCTATCAGTTTCCCTGAAATTGCAATGTTAAAACAAATCCTGGATTTGCTCCGGCTGCATTTGCTTTCTGTAAAACAACTTAAATACTAAATAAGCAGCGCTGTGCCTGAATCTCATTGGCGGGGTCCCAGGGTGCCATATTACAGCCAGCTTCTATTAATTGGATTAGGGATTCGGTGAGGATGGCAGCTGGTTGCGATTTTCCCGTTACTGTGGGTCTCTGTAATCCCTGTAGCAGAAATCACGCAACAATAGCAGGGGTGACTGTGACTGAGCTCGGGCATTTCTTTTCCTTCGTTTAGGGAGGCGTGAATGTGTGTGTGTGTGATGTAGACATGTGTTCACAGTGTGAGCTCATGTGTTCAAGGGCACATGTGCTCGTGGAGGCGAGGGAGGACACCTTCCTCAACCTCTGTTTACAGTGAGGCACGGTATCACACTTGAACCTAGAATTTGCCCACTCAGCTAGCCTAGTCAGTCAGTCTGCCCAGGCATTCTCTGCTCCCACCTTCTGCATCCTGGGACTACCCAATACCACCTGGCATTTACAGGAGTTCTTTGAATCTGACCTTAGGTTCTCAGGTCGTACAGCAAACAGGATACCTGAGGGGCCAGCTCCTTGGCCTGCCCCTTCCTTAATTTTCTCTCTTGAAATTTTAAAAAGAAAAGCTAAGCTCTCCCTCTCTCCCCTTGCAGGTTTTCTCCAGCCATCTTTCTATACCTCATCAACATCATACCGTCCCTGTGGCTCCTTGAAATGCACCACGGAAACCAGGTACTCATTTCTTTAAAAAAAGCAAGATAGTGACTCTGTTAAGCAGCAATCCACTTTCAGAAGAGAACATGAGTTGTTTCAGTCATGAGTTTTTCCATGGGGTTGGAATTGCCTAGAACTGAAGAAGTAAGAGTCCAGGTGCAAAAGAAAGTGACTCCACAAACTATTAAAAAAATAAATGAAATAACCACAACTACTTCTGAGTAGTGATTACTTAACTAACAATCCTTATTGGTGACATCTTACTTTGCTTAACAATGCAATGCTGTGATTAAAACTGTGACCAAGAACAACTTGGGGAAGAAAGGGTTGATTTGGCTTATTATATGGCTGATCACAGTTCATTGAGGGGAACCAAGGCAGAAACCCAAGCAAGGCAGGAACCTAGAGACAGGAGCTAATACAGAGGCCAGGGAGGAGTACTGCTTACTGGCTTGCTCGCTCGTGGCTTGCTCAGCCTGCTTTCTTATACAACCCAGGGCCTCCAGCCCAGGGATAACACTGTCCATAGGGAACTGGGTTCTTCTACATCAATCATCAATTAAGAAAATGCCTCACAAGCTTGCCTGCAGGCTGATCTGATGGGCCGTTTTCTCAATTGAGTTTCTTTCTTCTCACATGAGTCTGGACAGTAATCTTCTAAGATACACCCCCACAACCTGCTAATGATAGTCCATAGGCAAATGTGAAAATGATATATTTACCCATTTATGTGTATATGTACATGTGTGCATGTGGTGTATGTATACATGTCCGGTCTATGTGCACATACATATCTGTGACTGTGTTCTTCCTGCAGAAGCCAATGGAAGACATAGGATGTTCTCTGTCACTCTGCTGAATTCCCTCAATGCAAGGTCTGTTGCTGAATTCTGTCAATGAGTCTCCTGTGTCCGTCTCTGCCAGCTTTGGGGCCACAGGATCATGCAGCAAAGCTTAACTTTCATATGGGGATTTGAACTTAGGTCCTTTTTTTGCACAGCAACTACTCTTACTCACCGAGCCATCTCTCTATCTCTGTGAATGTGATTTAGTTCTTGCAGCTTCATTGAGCTCTAAGACATTATGCCACGAGTCTCACTATGCTTAGGCCTCATGCTAGCATCATCTGACAAGACATTTTTAAGAGACATAAAAATACAAATGAAACAACATTAAAAAAAATCTTTATCTTCTGTGGCTGCACGAATGTATTCAAACTTCTAGAGAACGTTGAAAACACAGGTGAAGTGGAATCCAGGAGACACACTTTGGGAGCTGGCTGAAACATTGTAGTGAAACAGAAGTCTGTGGGTTAGACTGAAAGCTCAGCAGTTAGAAGAACTTGCTGCCATTGTAGAGGAATGGAGGTCAGATCCCAACACCCACAACTGGCTGTAACACTTGAAGGATCTCTAGTGCCATCTTCTGGCCTCAACAGGTACCATTATGCATGTGGATATACACAGAGAGAGAGAAAGAGAGAGAATTAAATATAAAAATAAAATATTCTTTCATATCCCTGATATTAAATCTATGGGAGTGATATTATGAAGCCTATCACAGGGAAAGATATCATAAGTATCTAAACACATATGACCATGTCTTCCAATACAAATCCCCAGTTATAACCAGTTCCGTGTTTCTAGTCACTCCGGTTTGTTTGCTTGTTTTCTTGAGTCACAGTCTAACCTGGTAGCCCAGGTTGGCCCTGAACTGGAGTAATTCTCTTGCCTCACCTTCCTGAGTTCAGACATTCCCCAGCACACCTGGCTTAAATGACATTTTAAATACTGACCTACTTCCTCTGTGGACTTGTCTGACTTGTGGGCTCGATACTGAGCCTGTCATTTGTTTTGTTAACTCTCCCATAGAAGCCTAGAAGGTTCTTCATTGACAAAATGCTGTAGGCAAGATCTGCTCAGAATTGACCCTGTATACATTTCTTTGCTACAGCTGTTATTTTCTATCAAGGCTGAGTCTCCAGGTTATAAATAACTTTATTTGAAAATGCCTTGTGCGAACTTGAGGCACACAAGAGTAGTTTACCTTTGTGGATCCCTTTTGAAGGAACCTCCAAGCAAATATCAACCCTGTAGCAACAAAGAAAAACATTTCTCCCCCTCAACTCTCTTGACAAAATTCATTAACTTCTGAGGCAGTATCTGCATTAAACCATTTTTGTAACTGTAGACTGGTTGGTTCAAGTCACCATAGCTTTGATGGAAAGACCACAAAGAGCTAGAAGACCACTTGAGTCTTCTTTCAGGAATACGAAAATAAGCTGAAGTGATTTGAATCAATTTCCCCTCTACACATCCAATTCTAAGACATGGCTATCAACCACAATAACAATTCATTTCCCCCAAATGCTTTAATAATACAAATGTGTTACTCAGTTAATTTATATACAGGTCAAATCCCATTACAACCAATAACATGCAACCAAAAACTCTCTTTTTAATAAAAAAGAGAGAGAGACAGACAGAGAGAGAGAGAGTTTTAGCCTCAGGCAGAACTTCTGTGATTTTCATACAACAAAAGAAATCAAACTTTTAGTGCTGGGACTTGACACTGAAAATTAAAATGAATGCCCGGAGACTGAAGCAGGCAGGGCAAATGAAGACGGAAGCCGAGAAGGAGAGGGAGAGAAAAATACTGGGATTATGTTTAAACAATTAAGTGGCGTTTCGGAATTGAGGGGTATGTGGACATCAACTCTCTCCTCTCACTGTGAGAATTCTTCTGTTGCATAGTACCTAATATTTGGAGAGTTTTCAGTCGGCTTTCCTCACTTATAGATGTAAGGACCCTATATATAAGGCACGGTATGGACATTTCCGTTTTATAGACATGAACCCTGGGGTTTAGAAGGCTTAAATACGGAAGCAGCACCTGGCCCAGAACACACTCTCCAGGGTTTCCAGGGAGCTTACATAAGAATCATCTGAATTTTTCCATGATGGAAAAAGAGTCATTTACTTCCCATTAACAGACTTGAGAGATGGATACATGCGGCTCTTGGAGGGAACTTGAGTTCAAGACCTGTCACTCCCTGGCCCCACAACCTCCTGCAACTCCAGCTTCAGGAACTCTGACACCCTTTCTGGCTTCTTCAGTCCCCTGCAGGCACGTGGCATAGCAACACAGAAAGACATACACATAATTAAAACTAAAACATAAATTTTAGTTTTCAACATTCTCCATTTATTTACACGCAGGTTTTTCTAGATGACAGGCTTCAGACCTTCATTCCTGAAGTGATATGCCCTACACACATGTAAACCAAACTTTCCGAAGGATTGCAATTCTAACCACGTGCGAGCTCTTCTTGTGACAGAGCACACTGAATGTGATGAAAAAGCCCGGCTCTTTGTGAAGTCCTTGTTATCTTTGAGCCGAAGAGATGCATTAGGTTTTAATAACACAGACATAAATAAGTAACATGCTGGTACCAAAATGACCTTCATAAAATCCCTTGCATGATGATTACTAAAACGACAGACACAAAAGCAGACCAAGTCAAATTATGGTTAAGGATTTAAATCCCGTGTTTGTGGTAGCCTTAATGTCCTGAAATGGAGAGTTCCATTAATCTAAAACTGAGTAACAGGAGAGGAGAGGAGCTCAATTGCCACCATGATGCACATGAAAAGCCATTTGCTTCTAAATTGGGAAGCACTTCACTCCAGGGCGACATTTTCCTTAAACAGCAGGATGTTTATGGAGTTTTGGAGATAAAGGTATCGGGACGCATCATCTCACCAATTTTAGTACACAGTGTATTTTCCTACCTGTGAAAAAAGGTGGTCAACATTTTCTTTCTGTTCTTAAGCTCACAGAAGTACTCTCCAAAGGATGTTATGGGGTTTGGATCAACGATTAAGTTTTTATCTCCATCATCTCTTCTTTAAACCTTAGTGGCATGAATGTATACACATTTGCATGTATACGCAAGCACACACACATACACATTCACACAGATCTACACACATGCAAATACTCTCATGAGAACATGAACATACACATACATACGGACATTCACACACACCTCACACACGAACGTATACACATAAATGCAGTAATGCGCACAGATGAGGATGAACGCGTATACACTTACACTAACTTGCCCTGGCACTTGTGTGTCCTCACATACAAACGTGGGCACACACACATAGTGCGCACACTCATAATTATTTGTGTTATTTCACTCACAGCACCAGTCACTTGGGTCGAGAGCGGAAAATAACGGCTTCTTGGCAGACTTTTCGTCTATTTGTCAAATGGCTCATGGAATACACTCCATGGTATTTAGAATAATTAAGGGAAAAAAATACCCATATCTTATGGTTGAGCTCTTTTTTCCCCCCCGATAGTTTCTCCCTAAAGAAACGTGTGATCATGGGATGTTGGTGATTGTGGTAAGAGTGGTGGATCTGTTGCTGGTTATTTGTGGTAGCAGCTGTCTGTCTGTCTGTCTGTGTCTCTATCTCTCTGTTTTCTTCTTTCTTCTCTCTCTCTCTCTCTCTCTCTGTGTGTGTGTATGTGTGTGTGTGTGTGTGTGTTTCAAAAACATGTGAGCACTACAGAGGCAGAGAAAGCGTCAACCAGTCTCTCCGGCAAGTTTGTAAAGTATGCGCCCACGGTGGCTGCATTGCCAAGTGTTGTCTCTGTTTTCTTATAAAATTTTCTGCCTCTTATTTATCTCAGTTTCCAAGTATCAGGCTACATAAATTATACACAGTTCATCTGCAGAAACTGCAGAAGAAAGGAAAGAAGGAAATTGTCTTTTAGGTCAATTATCCAAGATCCCACAACCCTAAGTTGGCCTCGGTAACAAAACTGGAGTCTGGGACACTGGACTGTTGACTTTCTGTTTATATCAATGCTTGGCCTGAAGGGTGAAAAGTAATTGGCTTATTTATTTAACTAGAATGGCATTTTTAGATAGAGAGCTTTCTTGGTAAGAAACAAACTCCTAAAATAAATACTTTGACAGGGTCCTATGTATTCTCAGAGTTTGTATCCCAATTGTTCTAACAAAGGTTCAACGAAGGGAACCCAGCTACTGCACCATAGAATTTATAGCTCTCTGTGATGGCTCAACAGCTGAGCCTCCTAAGCTGTTGGAAAGGGAGACAGGCAGTGAGCACTGTCCTCCAGTGTCTTCCACCTCATATCCTGGTCCCAGGAATGGTCACATGGTCTCTGTAAATGTCACACATCTTCATAATCTCTTGCATGGAGTGAAGCTGCCTTGAGGTCCCTTAGTTGTGATGGTTTTTGCACACCCAGTCTCAATTCTTAGTATTGCAGTGCCCAGTCTGAGAAAATGGCACAGAACGTTAGCAGAAGAGGCGATATCAACCAAACCATGACGTCCCACAGACAAGCCAACGGAATGGAAAATATCCTTGAGCTGGTAAGAGCTTTTGAGCCACTTAGGAAAAATTTCAGAAAGTTGCCAAAGTTTGGGCACAAGAATTGCAAGCATAGATGTACTGCATTTATTAAATCTTGTCACCTACAAGATGATGTGCTCTTTATCAGTAAATGCATTAGGATCACACTTTCACAACATGTGTATGGAAACATAAGCTGAAGTGTATCATAATACAGCATATTCATTGTATACAAGTTTATTTGCTCTGATTACATGCCTATATTTTTAAATATAGTTACGTATAATGACATCTTCCTTTAACAAGAATAAATTTGAATTCGCAACACAGCTGAGAGGAAGGTAGCAATATTACCCATAAACCTCTGTCTCTCATTCATGCACAACCTGCCCTCGTCACATCTTGCACCTGGTGATGTATCAGTCCAACATCTGTGTAGATCTGAGGCAGGGTATCACACAGCCCAGGTTGGCTAAGAGCTCACTATGGAGGTGAGCACGACCTCGGACTTCTAATCTTCCTGTCTCCTCGTGCTAGGATTATAGGCATGTGCCAGGTATATGTGGTGCTGTGGATTGGACCCGGGGCCTCCTGTATGCTTGTCACTCTACCAACTGTGAAATATCCCGAGTCTCAATGTTTTGAACCAAAAATTGCTGTGCCTCCATGAATGTGTCATTGTCACTAAATGTCATTGTTTACATTAGAGTTCACTTTGGGTATTGCATGTTCTGTGCATTTAGGCACATTATAGTATTATAGCGTCTACCCCAAATTCATGTTTGATTATCTTCTCCACCTGCCTCAACTACGTTTAAAAAAAAAAAACTCCCCTCTCCCTCCCTTTCTCTCTCTCTCACTCCATCTCCCTCTCTCCTTTTCTCCCTCTCTTCCCTTCTTCCTCCTCTTTTTTCTACCTGCCCTTCTCAAATACATGTCAAGTCATTGATCACTGACATGTTGGGCTTCCTTACACATGAACATGAGATCTCTTGCCAATTGGGCAATCTCTGATTTCAGCCTTCAAGGTCTGTGGACATAGCTCAGAGCTACCGCACATGCTTCAAAAATGTAAGGTTTCATGTTTGATTCCAAATACCATCTAGAACAGAGAGAGACTGATTTAACTCCTAAGTATTTAGTAGTTTTATCATATATATGCTTTGTCATATATATAGTTATCATATATGTCTATTTTCATATATAAACACATACACCTGACGTATGTGTACCAATAGAACACATGCATTTTAATGTAAATGTACATATAATGTATTTGTATTTAACATTTTGTTAGATTCATAACCAAGTATTTTATTTTCTACAGTGGTAATGTAAGTGATACTGAAGTTTAGTTTCAATATCTATTTCTCTTCCAGTAGGTAGAAAGAAGATTGACTCCTGGATAACCAATTTTATAACTGTAATTTGTTTTTTAGTTCTGGGAAAATGTTTCTTATTTCCGCCACAAATTCTTTAGGACTTCCTACATATAAAAGAATGTGATAGCTGAACAAAGATAGTCCTATTCTTCCTTTTCTATGACTATAACCTTTATTTTCTTTTCTTATTTTGTTGAGCAGATATAATGAATGTGCAGAGTGAATATATAGTCATTATGCACAACACTCACCTAATAGGAAAGGATGTTTGCCAAACTAGAGTGATAGGGTAGCTCTATTTCTTTACACATCTTGTATTTAGTAAGATGATAATGATGTCTTTGAAAACAGTTTACAGAAGGGACTTGGGACAAACAAAGGTCTCTACCACTGAATGGTGTTTTCTAAAATAAGTTCCAGAGTAGAATACCGTGGTCCATGAATTACTATCCAAATTTAGCTCGAGCTTACCTATGTTACTGCGGACAGCTCACTTCATTTTTCACCTTGACTGAAACAGTAACATTTACCTGATAATGTGTTGCCCCTGTAAGTTAAATGACTTTTATGTGAAGCCTCACAGGAGAATCATCAAGAAGAAAGTGACAAAAAATAGTCTTGATCTTCATGCATGGATTCAATCAGTCCTCTTCTCCCTTGGTCATTTCTCTTCCTTGTCCTTGTGTATTTGGTGTGGATAACTGATCAAGAGATATAAGTCAATTTTGAACCAAGGTAACTACGCCATTTGCACAGGTCACCTGGAATCATTATCCTGCCTACTTGTGACAAAGATCTTATAGTCTTTAAATAATTTATCTTAAGCCAATACTAACATACCTTGAAATTTACTGAGAAATTAAATGGGAAGGATATTTCCTTCAGGATATATGGCAGAACCTATGGAGTCTATGGACTTTATCTCAAACTTAAGACTAAAGGCAGACTAAACTTTCCTTGCTGAATTATGGATTATTGAATAATATGCTATGTATTCAGAGCAAAGAGAGGAAACATTTCACTTATTCTCTTTCATTAAGTAAACAGATAAACAGTAATTTTTTTTCTGACTAGACTTTTAAGGCAATGATGAACAAAAGGAAAATTGTATTATGCTAAAAATTCCAATGCTAATAAATTCAGATTTTAAAATCAGTAAAAGAAAGATTGGATTTTTCTACAATTTTAATATGGAACTTATCAAAGTTTGCCATGTGTTATTATTTAATATGGAGTATAATAAAACACCTAAAGATCTTTAAAACAGAATTAAATTGGTTCTTTAAATGTCACAGGGTGTCACCTTAGTAGCATTTAAATTAGCCACATGCTAAGTAAGTCCTGTCTTATGAACCCCACTAGAATGTTCAGCTAAAAGGACTTATTTTCCTTAGTAAATAAAGAATGACTTTTGGAAAGTATCCACAAAAGCACAGTGTTGACTGAAAGCCATGTTGAAGCAGATAATCCTATATACTGATGGTCTCTCATCTCGACATCTGCGGGATGTCTCTGTTCAACAGGCCAGGGGCTTTGTAGATAACTTATCCATGGTATGTGATCCAGTCTGGACCTTAGGACTCCACCAAACTCTGCTCTTAATACTGATCATTGGACGATGGCTTCTCCCCATTGGAGGCACCATTACTAGAGACCAACTCTCAGAACTTCTTCTGATGTTTGTGGGGACAGCAGCTGACATACTGGAATTCACTACTGAGACTCTGAAAGAAAATAACGTCAGGTAAGGCCTGGTCCAGTGTCTGTACCACGTGTCTGTCTCATTGTTCCATTAATTGTACTTCGCGTAAGATTTTTAGAGAGAGTCTTATGTCAGGGCTGGAGAGATGACTTACTTAGTGAATTGTTTGCTGTGCAAGAATCAGGACCTGAGTTCAAATCCCCAATTCCCACGTAAAAACCAGGCATGGAGGTGTGTGTGTTTATGATCCCAGCACTAGAGATGTGTAGACAGGAGAATCTCCAGGGCTCACTAGCCAGCCTTTCAGGGCGGATCAGTAAACCCCATGTTCAGTGAGAGAAGCAGAAAGTAAGGTGCAGGGTGATATTTGAAGACACCCCGTATCAAGCCTCTGGGCTCCATATGTACCAGCATATATACGCATGCACATCAACACACATATGCACACTCGATCATGTATTCACATACACATCACATCTACTCTACACATACACACACATGTATATTTAGATACATGCTAGGGACCGATCTTTACCGTAGAAAAGAAGATGCAGGAATTCCGCTCTCCCTGAGAAAGGGACAAGGTGCGCCCACCCAGGATAAAACATAAGGCAGCCACACAGTTGCACCATCAGTTCTGGGAGGTCAGGGCAGAAAGACAGTGACTACAGATATCTGGAGACCCTTGGGGTGTCTTTTTCCTCTCCAGTCTCCAGCCGGGCGTCAGGAGTACAGCCAATGGCGATATTTTCTCTTAGATCACAGCATAATAACAAAAGCTATAGAGAAAGTGTCCCTTTCTTCAGCTGAAGAATTTACATTTCCTGGTGAGAAGGGAGAATGGAACAGATAAAGTTTTATTGTATGAAATTTTATTTTTAGTCAGTTTTGTTCAAAGTGCCCAAAGGCTTTCTGGTGGAGATGCCTATAAATTAAAACTTATTGAGTTGGTACTTTTATTTTCGCCACAAGCAAATAAACTCAGAATCCATGATCACATCTGTTTATGGAACTGCTTTCTTCCCATTAGGGATTTGAGTCTCCGTGCCTGAATGTACTTTAAGCTTGGGTTGTTTTGTACGATGCTATAAAAATAAATTGGAATGAGGCTGGCTTTTAATGCTACAGTTTACTTTATCCCACACTCCTCAAACAACAAAACATAAAGCCCAAGCAAAATACACCAACTTATTAAATAAACTTAATTTCTCAATTACAGTGTGAATCCTTATTTATAAGCAAGAGATATTTTTACAAGAGCACTCATCGTTTTGTGCATGCTAATTTTTCCTTTAGTTTATTAGCTTGACATTATTCTTTGAGGAATCAAATATGAATTGGGTCACTATAGTCACGGTGTTTATTTTAGTCTGTGGTTTCAATGCCTTACAGTTGATCGGCACCTTACATTGCACAAAGCTTTCAAATGTGTTTGAGGTGATTATACTACAGTGCTGTTACTGGAAGAACATGACTGGATCATGGTGGAGCACATAAAATAATGAACGTGGGTAGTTACAGAGCCATGACGCCATAATGATAAGTTCCTCCTATCTGTAAATGGATGCATGTATGCTAAATATCTACAGAGAACAGAGGCAGCACAGTGTCATAACAGGGCTTGAGGAGGGCTATGTTTTATGGAGCTAGTCGTAAAATGAGAGAAATGCCAAACCCAGTTATCTTAATGGGCTCTATGAGTCTCATCCAGAAGTATCATCAAAGAGTAATGTATCCCATGCTTACCAATAAATGTTGATTATTAAATACGTTTATTTAATTGCTTGGCCCATAAAAAAGCGCCCTTGGAAGTCACCAGGCACTGTTTAATTGACTAAGGGATGTTGTGTAACATGTGCCAGGTACCGTGCTAGGCAGAGCCTGAGGAGCGGAACCATAAACAGATGATGAACCAAAGAGCACAAAGTTCAGCCAAAAGGGGGCTGTTTTGTCCAGAAAGAATTTAGGGGAACACTCAGTATTTCAAGCCATCATCAATCCCCCCCAAATTTTTCTGCCACTGAGTATATATTTTGGAAATTTGGAACTTGCATTTCATACAAGATAATGCTTAATGGGGCTGAATAAATTAGAACTGGCCCTTGTATCTACAGGCTTCTCATTCATGGATAGAAAGCATTCCAGACATAACTCCAAGTTTATTATAGGAAATGTGTGGATTACATGTTAACGTTATACAATGTTTTATGAGACGATGAGGGTCCTACAAATTCCCTCTTATAGATAACATAGAATTTTGTTACAGATTCTATTTTAAAATATCTTTAAATATCGTTTTCAATCGTCTTCCCTCAAATTGAAGTTACTTTGTTTCAGTACGCCCGGATTCTGCCAGTGGCCTTTTGCAATCTCCCATCTACCCCGCTTTGCACCTCCACAATTCAAGTGCACCTCACCCTGTGGTCAAGTCCCAGGACATCTCTAGAGAGCTTTTCCTCTCTTCAAAAAGTTTGCTTCCAAGTTCTAAGTTCCTGTCCCAGGTCTCACCTGTGCTGTAAGAAACGATACCAAAAATGTCAAGTATGTGCGTGTGTGTGTGTGTGTGTGTGTGTGTGTGTGTGTGTGTGTGTGCGTGTGTGTGTGTGCTCGCGTGTCCATGTGTGTTTTCAGAAGAAGGGATTGGACCCCATGGAAGTATGGTTACAGATGGTGGTTAGCCGCCATGTGGTGCCTGTAAGTGAACCCAGGTCCCTGACTGCTGAGTCATCTTTCCAGCCTCACAATGAAGTCTTATTATAGTTCTACGTAATATCATGGTGTCATATATAAGAAATAAAAACAAATCTAAAATCAGAACTGTCTTCCCTTTTCTACCTCTGGAACTCTTTAGCTCTCTCTCTCTTTCTCTGTGTGTTTTCATTTGCTTTAATTTTGTGTGCTCTGCGAAACAAACTTTCAAGTTTCAGCACTTTTGGCATTGACCCACAATTATTTGTTGAACCAGCTTGGACACTAATTGTCTCAAAAAAATATTTGTTGAAAATACTCTTTCCAAGTTCAACTGACGTATTTATTCAAAATCAATTGACTACAGGTGTAAGAGCTCCAATGAGGGATGTGTTGGTCACACTTACGGTGATGTTTGTGGTAGGGTACTGTAGACAATATAGCCTTCTAAAAGCATTGCTTCTGGTAGCCTAGGACCCTTACGTGGCTGTGATTACCTTTCCAAGCTTATTTAAAAAACGGAATAACAAGCAAGCAAACAAAAGAAAACCTTTGGGGCCTGTGTAGGAGATGAGGTAGCTGAAAGGCTTAGTTGGGAAGATTCAGAATTCTGAAGCCCTCACATACAATGTGAAATGTCTGAGCTAGTTTCTGACTTTTGCCTGCTTTTGAGAGCCCGGTCCTCCTACTGGCTTGCCCCGTCCAGCCTTAATGTGAGGGGAGGTGTCTAGTATTATTGCAACTTGTTTGGTTGGTATCCATGGGAGGCGGGGCCCTTTTCTGAAGGGAAACTGAGGGGGAGTGGATGGGGAGGGAGGAGGTGAGGAGGTGGAGAAGGAGGGGCTGGAGGGAGGGAGAGGAAACTGAAGCTGGGATGTAATAAATGAGAGAGCAAATTAATAAAAATATTTTTAAAAGGGAAAAATGTCTCAGCTTAAATAGTTCACCTTTGCTTTTCAAGTCTTCTCCAAGAGTCTTTTCTCTTGAGTCTCTTAGTACTAGTTTTTACTACTTAAATTCTTTCTAATGGATTTTTAAAAACTTTCCTTTTATCATTTTTAGTTCCTTTAGTTGGAACATAACTTACCTACAGAATGATTTTGTACCCGGCAATGACCACAAAATTTGTTTAGTTTGTTTTATTTCCAGGTTTTATCGTATGCTAGGTCATGACATTTATAAATAAAGACGCTTGTGATTGTTGCCAATGTATGCTCCATGAATTTCTTTCTCTGGTGTCATTCTGTTTGCTTTCTTCTATGTTAGACAGAAGCAGTAGAACTGAACAACTCAACCCTAAGAGAAATACTTTGTCTTTCTCTGTTAAGTATGCAGTTCACATTTTGCTTGCACAGACCCTCATTAGAAGCTTGAGGAAAGGTATTTTTATTTTCACATTTCTGAGAATGTTTTTTTATGTGTATTGACTATTACGAAGTCTGCCTTCTTTGATATGATTTTATATTGGTTGTCCTCTACTATTAAAATAAAGATCACCAGTCTTTCTTCTCTAGCATAAGCATCCAGAACTATACATTTTCTTCTGAGCACTGCTATCTTAACATAGTATATATTCTGTTGTGTTATCCTTTTATTTAATATAATTCAATCCTCCAGTTACTCTTGTCATTTCTCCTTGGCTCGTGATTATTTGTAAGTGAGATGTTTTCATTTCTAAGTAGATGGAGAGTCCTCAGATTTCTTTCCATTGTTTTTATTTTAATTTATTGTAGTCTGTTATTATAATTTAAATTGGTTCATGACTTTTAAATGTATTGAGGCTTGCTTGGGAGAGGGTACGGCTTCCCCTGGAGAGTGTTCTGGTTGCTTAGGAAGGATGTGTTCTTGTTTACACTCCACAATAGGTTAATACTGGTGCACTTATAGTAAACTGCAGCAGCATTATTCCACTTAATCATCACTCCTGGCTCCATCTGCTTCACGGACCATAACTTCATCTCAATCTCCTCCTGTGTGCTATTACAGCAATACATATATTATGCCTTGGTATATTATAGCACACAATATGGTTTTGTCCTTTATAATATTTTCATTTAACAAAAGGGTGAGATGCATTCCCTCCTGCTTGGCAAAATCATTTTTTTTTTCTTCCTAAGACAAACCTGCTAGCAAGAGACTTTCCAAGTCTTTCTTTAACTGGAAAAAAATGTTTATTTTGTCTCTGTGTTTGAAGAATAGCTTTGCTTTAGAAAGAGTACTTGGTTGACAAGCTTTCCTTTTTAACACACATATAAGATACAAATATCTATATTTTATATATGTAATTCAGTCATCCAATTGTTTTCTGACCATCACCATCATCTCCTATTAGACGTTAGTCCTTGCTTATTCAC